GAAAGTTTTACATTTAGAATAACCAACGAAGTTCAAATGAAAGAGGCCCACATTTTAAAAATCTGATGACATTGCAGCAGTTCTACCCTGCCCTACAGGGTTGCTGTGAGTCAGCATTGACTTGATGGAAATGGACGTGATGCCCAGGGGGATTATTGATCATGTTCTCTAACATAAAATGGCAATGAAGCCTCTAAGGTGAACCAGAGACTTATACAACTAATATATATATAATATATACAACTAATATATATATATGAACAATTAGTTTTTATGATATGACCCTGCTTGATGCTCAACCTCATGTAGAGATCACTAAAGATACAGGTGCTACAGCAAAGTGTAGTGAAGCAAGGAGATGGTGCCCTGCTATCTGAAAGAATAGCATCTGGGTCTGAAAGGCTTGTTTTCAAACAAACATCCATTTAAGTGAAACATCAAGTAAATGCACATGGAAGAAGCACAGCAGCCTGAATAACCCAAGAATTGTATATAATATCCAAATTTAAATGAAGGGGTGCTGTCAGAGCTTCGATTGTAAAGACCTACATGGTTTACAGAAGGCTATGGATGACAGTGGAAGCCTAAAATCCATGCAGAGTCCACGAATAGCTTACGTCTCTGGTGAGTCCCCTCTGATCAGAGTTGAGAGATGTGAATAGCACTATAAATTTGATTATGGCAGATGTAGTTAGGCTAAAATGTAATATCTTATCATTTGATCTCCCTTTTGAACCATTTTAAGGCTGTTTCAGCTGAAAAAAAGTGAAGGGGATATACACATGGATTAAGCTCCCAGTGAATCCCCTCTGACCACGGACCAGGGACCAGGGATATGAATAACCTTGCTATCCTGTGGAATGCATTAGAAAGTGGATTGTTGCAGAGGCAGTTAGGTGAAAATTTAACGTCCTATCTTTGATCTCCTTATGGCCCACTTAAATTTGATCTAGCTTTTCATATTTTCTACTTTCTTTTCTATTGAGATTTTTATCTATTTCCCTTTGTTATTCTTGCTAGTTTCTGTTTTTGAATGTTTTTCTGTATGTGAGATCCAGGGTAGGCAAATCTACAAAGACGGTAACTGGATTAACGTTTCCTTGGGGGTCTAGCAGGGGAGGTTGGGAGGAAGGGGGAGCTAATAACGATGAGTACAAGAATGAAGAAGAGATACTAAAAGCTGATTGTGCTGATGACGGTACAACTTTTAAAATATGTAAACATCATTTATTTTATAATAAGAAGGATATGCAGTAAGTTTCTGGGCAAAGGGGGTCAAAAGATGAAGCGCCTAAAGGAATTTCATCTCCTAATCTTTTAAGTGATGACCTGCAGTCGGGGAATTTAAATTTTGTTGTCTTTTGAGCATTCAACTCACCAGACCCAAACTGAAGAGAGGCCCTTTTGTTTCCTCCTTGTCAGTATAAATGTAGATCTGAGATGGCTCTTAGTAGGATTTGAAACACAGAGCATTCTGCCAAAAAGTAGAAAGCAAGTCTAACTCATCAGCAGAAAAGAGCCTACATTCCGGAGGGGTGTCTTAGAGGACTGTTTCTTGCATGGTTTGTCTCCTCGGTCATTGTCCACAGGACTCTGAGAAGCTGTAGAAATATGCAGGCGCACACTCAAGGCCCGGCTTGATCTCCGAAGTTGTGGAAAAGGACTGTACATCATGGGGCAGAGCCCCGTGCTCCTCCATGTCACCTGGACAGAGCCCAGGGAGAGTGGCCTCCCGGGAGTATCCACATCGGGGTGTACAACTTTTCTTGATGTGACTGAACTGTTGAACTGTATGATATGTGCATTATATGCCAATAAACTGTTGAGGGAAAAAGATCTGAGTGCAGCAGAACAATGGTTGGAACAGGAAAATTCATGGGTAGAAGTCCTAGAACGTAAGGCTGGAAAAGAGATGTAGGAAGCCCCTCCTGACGCCTGATGGGGGAGGCTCGGTTATTCTCAGGATTATGGAGAACAACACACATTCAAAATGGTATGATTGGCCACCGCCACCGTCTTTGAGCAAGGCTTCATGGATTCCCACTCTGCTAGTAAAGAGACTTGGCTACACATGCTGATCTCTGATTTTTACTAAGAGGGAGCTTGGTTCTAGCAGGCCACTGACCTGTTGTATTTCCCCGTCCAGTTACCCACCTAGCTCCTCCATATCTGACAAAGGTGGATCCATCTGGTTTCCTGGGAAAATACGAAGCTTATAATTTTGGCCAAACCTGCTTCTCCTCTAGTGTTCTCCCTATTCATAAACAGCACAATCATTTACCCCATTCATCCATGCCAAACCTGAGATCCATGCTTAATACTCACCAAAAAAAAAGATCAAAACATAGACCCATTTTTTCTTGGCATATCAACCCTCTCAGTCTATACATTTCGGAAAGCAATGCTTACATTTCTCTGATCCAAGAGGAATTCTGTGCTCCTCAATTTACACCAAGTCAGGCAAACTCAAGGGACTCAAATTGTGTTTTTTCATTTTTAATGTTCTTGAGTTCAAAAAGAAGTTTGAACAGGACAAGATCAGAGCTGGAGGGTAGATGGGTTAAGGTCTCCCAATAAGACTTTCCTAGGACAGCTCTTTCCCCACAGGAAGAATGAGCAGGCTCATTATAGAGACGGAGAAGAAATTCCCTGCACAATTGTTGGGCGGGTCTTTTTCTCACTTAACAACTTTTCCTTAATAAGCCCTCTTGCCTCCCATGCCCCAGGGGTGTTGCCCAGGTGCGTGCTGCACATGCCATGGGTTGTGCCATTACTGAGCAACCTCAAGCGAAGGAAGCCACCACCTGTATAATGGCTGCGAGCACACAAGCTCCGGCTTTGCCCTGGAAAGAGACAGCAACCAGCCAGCCCCTTGCTCTGGAGAGAGACCACTGTATCTTTTAAAGCTGTTCACTATACACATATCCAGAAAATATAGCCCAGGACAGAGACTGTCAGTGCTGCCCAGAAGGTGTAGAGAAACAGAGAACCTATGGAGAATCACCTCAAAAACAAACAAACAAAGACTCACCGTCTTCAAGTCAAAGCCCGTTCATAGCGACCCTATAAGGGAGAACCGTCCCGTGAGGTCCCAAAGCTATAATTCCTTTTGAACCATTTTATTGGCACAGAATTAACATATCATACAATTCTACAGTTCAATCACATCAAGAAGAATTGTGCAGTTACCACCACAATCAGTTTTAGAACATTTTCTTCATTCTTTTACTCACCATTGTTAGCTCCCCCCTTTCTCCCACAACCTCTTCTGCCATGCCCCCAAGGAACTATGAACCCAGTTAAGGAGACCATAACTCTTTATTGGTGTGCAACGCCCCGTCTTTCTCCCGTGGAGCGGGAGACTGCAGCCCAGTGTGTCACCATGACACCATGTCTCCACCTCCTAACAGATCCTGGAAAGTCTAAACTCATTCAGCCCTGCTGTGTGAAGTTTCCCTCCTGCCACCCCACCCCCCTGGTTTGTTTAAATGCAAGACAAAACTTAGTGAGAAATGAACAATTGTGAATTCCTCTTTCCTTAAGCATCTGGCGCTTATGTAAGCTTCCTGATAAAGCAGGTTCAAGGTGCTTGTAACGCAAAGGTTCAGTCCCTGCCTTTGAAGCCCCTTGTCTAGTGGGGAAGAGCTAAGACACAGGTGCTGTGGAAACAATGCTGATGGAAGGGAGGGAGAGGAGGGGAGAGGAGGGAGGGGAAGGATCATCTGAGAACAATTTTATAGGAAGACGGTGATTACAGAACTTCCGAGCCTAGCAAGGGGGCTCCAGCATGCTGTTTATCAAAACGTAGGCCACTGGAGATCCCCTGGCAAAGGGGTCTCGGGGAGGAGACGAGCCAGTCAGGGTGTGATGTAGCAACAATGAAAAATACAACTTTCCTCTAGTTCCTAAATGCTTCCTCCC